CAGAACAGATGGACAGGCGGAGGAAGAGAGAGCCATGTTAGGACATGAGAACGGCAGAAATTGGCGAAAATCCCGTGCAATGGAGGTGGGCTAGCCTCAATTCCTACACTACTAAATACTAGGCTTGTGAGAATATTCGAATGCTTCGAATAATCGTACGAATAGTATGGTATTTGAGTTCGCCTCGGTTGACCCGCATGTAACCGCTTGCAACGGTAGTTTCACTGCATTGTAGGAGTGCCAAACCATGAAAACACCTATCCAGGAAAATCTGTTCTGCCGCAAGGCCCCCCTTAAAATTTAAAGGGGCCCTGCAACGCTTTCTGAGCATGGTCAGAAAACGCTGCCGATCTCTAGCCGAGGCTACCGCAAACACATCAGCCAAATATTGTAGTGTAGTACACGACCTGAAATTCTGAATAAGTTCTCAAAGTCAGCTAAATATATCTTCCTTTTCTTGGCAAATGATGCCAGAACTTTATGTATAACTTTATGTTTATTTACATGATAGCATCAAAAAGCTTGGTTTGCACAAATTTCAGTGTCAGCATTGTTGTTTGTAAGTAAAAAATCTCTGGTGTACGTCACCAAAAAGCTAAATGGATGCAAATAAATAAATAGTAAATCAGTCTAAGTACATTACCCTGCTTGAAATAGCTTATAAGGAAACACTACCGTGAAATTCCATGCAAGCCTTTGTGAAAGACAAATTCTTTAGGGTGGGCCCTTGCTCGCTACAGATGAAAAGTCAAGATGGCAATGGAAGGGTCCTCCTCTAATGAAATGCTTTATTGCTTGCTCGGTCACTGGCCCATATTATAGGTCTCCCCAAAAGGGGTATTTCATTGTATGTATGAAGGTTGAGTAGTGCAGGGAGTTTTGTTGACACATGCAATATCAAAACATTACCAGATGTAATATTTGCATGGCAGAAGTTCATTTCTTCAGGTCTACCTATAACAAAGCCCTCAGGCATAACCATCATCATTCGTCATCTAATCAAAGACATCATTTTGCCATAATCTTGGCGATATGCCCCGCCAGGGTAGGTGGCTAACTTTTAGTTACCCTAAGCAGGATCTCAATAAATGCACAAAGCCTTTGCCATGCATATCTAGGTGTCTACATGTGCCACACCGACATTAGATAGCATACAAGTAAAAGCCTTGTGTCTAATCCATAAAAAATGTACTGCATAACACAGCAAAAAAAAAAAAATCCAGGCCTGTGCAGTAGCCGAAGCACAGACACAGCAAAAGCTAGAAGAGCGGCCTTTCAGAGCCTTTTAAGGGGGGACGCGGCACTTCGGGACCGAAAATCAGCCAAAAAATCGAGTTTTCGCGGACCTTCTTTTCGCGTTCCCGACATCATTGCGCACCTATTTACAAAATTTCATAGCCGAATACCATCAACTTTTATCGTTATTCAACTTTAAAAAACCGAAAACGAGCGTCCTGCCCTTTAAATTGAGGGCGAATAGCGCAGGTTTCGGCTCTACGATACGCGGGAACTACGCGCTCGATCGGCACCATTTTGGTCTTGTTTGAAAGAACGCGTTTTCAGCTGTTTTTTTTTTTATTCAGTAAGCAACATTGAGCGTTTCCCCGGCTCGAAAAACGGGGCCTCAAAGACTAAGAGCCGCGCTCACTGCCATTGGCTAAACGGCGCACGTGACTGAAATGGCGCTTTCCGGTTGGCTGGAAGCTCGCGGCTTGCGCCTGCATACGCGACCCGACGCCATTTTGAAAGGGTTACCGCTGTGACGCCTCGAAATCGGCAGAGCACTCTGAAGCTTCTGATCGTATCGCCATGCCTGGAAACGCAAAAAAGTATCGGACCGTGCACGCATTTGGTCGCAGGAAACGCAAAGGTCGTGGGAGAAAGTCTACGAAGTCATCAGAGCCCTTGGTTGACTCCCACGAACGATGTGTCGACGCTCCGCGGCCGTTCAGCGATGGTGCGACCGAGCGCGTTGCCTCCGACGACGATGACGGTGAAGCGAACTCCGGACGACTACGAATCGACGCCAAGGTGGTGACAAACGCCGAAGTTGAAGAAAATCATGCCCGGGAGAAAGCGACGCTCGACCGGCTTTCATCGGCGCCAGCATCTGCACGGAAAATTGACTTTTTCACCGCGAGTTGTAGCGAGGCAACAGCACAGGACTCGGACCACGCTGCTCCTTATCTGCTTATGCATCTAGATATCCTAAACGCGATAATGGGTGCCTTGTGTTGCAAAGCCTGCCACGGACCGGCTACGATCGTCAGAGGGGATCGGGACTACGGACTTGCCGTGAAAGTGCTAGTGCAGTGTGAAAGGTGCGGCGAGATCGCGAATGAATGGACTTCGCCCCGCGCGAACGGCACGAAAACGTGCAATCCGTTTGAAGTAAATCTTCTCGCTTAGAGGGCGATGGTGGCTACCGGCAACGGCCAAACGAAAATGAACGATATTTTCGCAACAATGGGCATCTCACACCGCGGTATGCACCACAAGACGTTTCAGCGGCATTTGAAGAACACGCTGGCACCCGCTGCAACGCGAGCGGCTGAGTCCGCTATGAGCGAATGTGCGGAAAAGGTTAGAACAATTTATGATGACTTGTGCTTCGGCCACCGGGGCAATATTGCCGTTAGCTACGACGGCACGTGGAAGACGCGAGGCCATTCTTCCCACATCGGCGTGGGCACAGTTATCGAATTATTTAGTGGCTACGTGTTGGACTACGTCGTTCTTTCCAACTTTTGCCTAGGCTGCGAGGTGGGCCCAAAGCCTAGTAGTGAGGGCTATCAAGAATGGAAGGCTAACCACAAATGCCAAAAAAATACGAACAGCAAAGCGGGGCAAATGGAAGTGGAGGCGGCTCTAATTCTATTTCAGAGGTCGCTTGAACGCCATGGCCTGCGCTACACAACTATGCTGTCTGATGGAGACTCTAGGACATTTTGCGCCATACAAGACGCCAAGGTGTATGGTTACATTGACGTGCAGAAGGAAGACTGTATTAATCATGTACAGAAACGGATGGGCACCGCATTGAGAAACCTGGTGCAGAAACAAAAGTGCGATGGGAAAAGAGGCCTTGGTGGGAAAGGCAGGCTCACAGGTGAGCTGATCACCAGGCTGAGCACATATTATGGCCGGGCTCTGAAATCGCATGAAGGTGACGTGGGCGAGATGCAAAAGGCTGTGATGGCCACATACCGCCACGTCACCTCCACTGATGAATGCTCGGACCACAGTCTGTGCCCAGCTGGTGAAACTTCATGGTGTCGGCACAATGCCGCAAAAGCAAAGGGTGAGCCCGACCCCAGGCATGCCTACAATCTACCGAAAGACGTGGCAGAGGCATTACTACCGGTTTATACCCGGCTTTCGGAAAGAGCCCTGCTTCAGAGGTGCGAACGCGGCAAAACGCAGAACTCCAACGAGAGCCTACATTCGGTAATCTGGAGTTTGGCCCCCAAGGAGCACCATGCGTCCCTGTTCGCTGTTGAAGCAGCTGTTGCAGAAGCAGTGCTGCGCTTCAACACGGGCAATTTGAATTCAGCAACGGCAATCTTAGGTGAAATGGACATGAATGCGACAAGTACTGGTGCCAGGAGAGCGAGAGAAAAAGACCACCGTCGCAGCATTGTCTCCAACAAGAAAAGAACAGCCTCATTGGAACTCCGGAAGCTAGTGAAGAGGAGGCATGAGCACAGAATGCATTCAGACTATGCTTCTGGTGCGTTTTGAGGTTGTCTTGTTGCATCTTCTGCAATAAAAATGTGTGCCCACGTTTTTTCTCGATTTCTCAAAACGACAATTTTCATGTGCTTCCCATTATGCCGGAGCAATATCTCTTGTTCTATCTGGGTTATCATTACGATTTCTTTTTTGTTTCGAAGATAAATGCAGGGGATGTGTCGTAAAGTAAGTTTTATTGTAATAATTTTTGGAGAAAATTCTCTAAATGGATCTTTTGTTTCAAGTGTAGATGGGGAAATTTTTCATGTCATATTCAACATCCCACAACTTTGCTTCGAAATAGCCCAGAACAATGATTTATACTTTATTGCACACTGTGAACATACCGAATTGGTTCTATAGGTTGCACATCAATATCCAAGTTACAGTTAATTAGCTAATTAGGCCTTAATTGAAAAAGTCGCAGTTCATTATATCTTTAAAACTAATTGTCACAGCAAAAAAAGAATTAGATTTTTGAAATCAGCAGTAAAATCTACATAGGCTCTCCAAATTTGACTGAGGTACTCGCAAAAATAAAAGAGTTTTTGGAAGGTGTAGCATCCCCCCTTAAAACACTTATTGGGTAACTGCTGCAAGCACACTTGCTGGCTTATTAATAATAATTTCTGGGTAGTAGGCCCGCATTCGCTAGGCTAGTCTTCATCATTCTTCTGTAGAAGCGTAGTATCCACTAAACACTTGCAAGAAATGCAGTGGCTGATGAGGATGAGGAATTATGCCTGAAGTGGGTATGCACCACAGTTATTAGGTGATCAAGAACAAGCTTTTGTAGTGGGTTGGAGCATTGGACGACCCACTCGTTACGCTATTTACATTGTGTGATGCCTGATTATTCCTTAGCTATTCTAAAATGCTTTATTACTCATATTAATGCAATTCCTTTCTTAACATTAAGCCTGGCTAAGGCAAGTTTTCAAAGAAGTCCTAAGCACTGGCGTGGCCCAGTGGTAGAATACCAGGCTGGCACGCAGCGGACCAGGGTTAGAGTCCCACTGTGTCCTTAGTACTAGGTCTTTTTCTTATTTCGCAATAGTGGTTACGGAGGCGCCGCACATGACCTGAGTTATGATCTTATAACAGCTTTCACTGTAGAAGTACCTCCAAAGTACTGCTTGCTATCCCAATCCTTTGTTTAATGCAAGTGCATTACAAATCAGATTCAGTAAAAAACCCCCCAAAAAAGTAAAAAGCAGGCAGTGAGTTTCCCAGTTGATGGATATGGTAAAGAGAAGTGCTGCTCTCACCTGAATCGGAGATGGCTTCAGAAACAGGTTCTTGTGGATTTCATTCAAGATTTCCGCTGTAAATGAGAATTCCAAGCACATTTAGCGTGCTGAAAATTAAAATACAAAAAATGTCCATTCATATGGACAGCAGGTTTATAAATACTTCTCGAGGAAAAAAATCTCTTGAGAAGAGTGTGTGGCATGCTTACATTGGCGGCCACTGTACATTTCTCATATTTAACATGACAGTGTGATAGAGCTTGTGCAGCAGGAAGTCTGGCCCCAGCATCAGCAGTGTGCCAACAATAAAACTTCGAACCAGAGTAGAACTCTGCATTCTGCGTGGCACTCAAGTGTTATCAAGACAGAGCTATGCCAGTGCTTGAAACTGCTTCGGGGAACCTAGAGGTGGAACCAAGCTTCAGTTTTTTGCAGCGAAGGAATTATAACGATGCAGCTTTGGAGTATCAGTGGGTGTAGCAGTGCAAGTTTGTATTCAAGCAGCTTTCAAGGCTCAAAGATAAATGCTAAGCACTACTGAAAGCAGAAATGTGTCAAGCGGCTCCCAGCATAGCTCACCGACTGGCAAAATCCTATACAATGCCAAGCACAGTCATCAGAGCCTAGTCATGACCAATCGGCAGTCAATCATTACCAATAAATTGTATATTTATAGCTGCGGTCTAACGTCCCAAAACACCATATGATTATGAGGGACGCCGTAGTGGAGGGCTCCGCAAATTTCAACCACCTGAGGTTCTTTAACGAGCACTAAAATCTGAACGCAGGCCTACAGCATTTACGCCTCAATCGAAAATGTAGCCGCCGCAACCGAGATTCGATCCCGCAATCTGCGAGTCAGCAGCCGAGAGCCATTGCACTGCCGCGATAGGGCACCAATTAATAGTATAAAATGCTAGAACATACTTATAATGGCCCATACATAACCAAAGCCCAAGAACAGTGAACGATAACCAAACAATAACAGGGGTGCAACAACCAAAATAAAATTTGGATGGATTTTTGGAGCAGAGAAATGTTACTTTGTAGCACTAAAATACTAATTCAGAGCAGGTTACGGGAAAAAAACAACAAATTCTTTATCAAAAGACCAAAACAGATGGCTTATAAGCGGTGCGATATATATATATATATATATCTTGCAAGGGAGTTCAATAGCGCCGCCAGGTAGTAGGCAGACAGCCGGTACGGACACAAATACTTGAGCAGTCCAGCGACTACAGCCCCTGTGTCCTGAACAAGATCATGGTCGTGGCGATCTTTTTGGAGGGCTTGATTATTGGCTGTGAAGGACCGTGCAAGCTGACGACACTCTTCGGCATGTTCTGCCATTTCAGAAACTGGGCTGAACTCGGAGGCATCAAGATTGTATGGCAGAATTGTGTCGAGTGTGCTGCATGGGTCACGACCATATAAAAGAAAAAATGGAGAAAAGCCCGCTGTTGATTGAATCGCCGTATTGTAGGCATACGTCACGAAAGGAAGGACAACGTCCCAATTGGAGTGGTCCGAATCAATATACATAGCGAGCATGTCTCCGAGGGTTCTATTGAAACATTCCGTTAGGCCGTTCGTCTGAGGGTGGTAGGCTGTTGACATGCGATGTACCGTGCGGCATGAATGTAAGAGCTGCTGCAGAACTTCGGACAAGAATACACGACCCCTGTCACTCAGGAGCTCCCAAGGTGCACTATGACGAAGAACAAACCGATGTAAGATGAAGGTTTCAACGTAACGAGCACCAGCCAAAGGTAGCGCTGCCGTTTCGGCGTACCTTGTCAGATGGTCGGCAGCTACAATCACCCATCAATTACCACCAACAGAGCACGGTAGCGGGCCGTATAGGTCAATCCCAACACGGTCAAATGGGCGTGCAGGACATGGTAAAGGCTGCAGTTGACCGGGTGAATGAGGGAATGTCTTGCGCTGCTGACGCAGGGAACATGAGCGAAAGTGTTTGCGTACAAACGAGTACATACCCCGCCAGTAGTAACATTAGCGGATTCGTTCATATGTCTTTAGCGCACCGGCGTGTGTGTGTTGCGGCTCAGCATGAAAATATTCACAGATATCAGAGCGCATATGGCTGGGTATGACTAGCAGCCATTTACGACCCACCACTTGATAGTGGCGACGGTATAACAGGCCATCTCGTATGGCGAAATGCGTTGCTTGGCGGCGAAGAGCACGCGAGTAACCGGAAGTTGATGTGTCGGAAAGCATATTCAAGAGCGAGACAATCCAAGGGTCTTTCCGCTGTTCGGATGACATGTCTGTGACGCTGACGGAGGAGAGGGGAAGGTCAAGGGCTGATATTTCTGTATCATCAGATTTCCCGGGTGATCGTGAAAGCGCATCTGCGTCAGAGTGCTTTCGCCCTGATCGGTAGACGATGCGTATGTCGAATTCCCTGGAGGCGTAGTGCCCAACATCCGAGGCGACCAGAAGAATCTGTCAGTGAAGCCAACCAACAGAATGTATGATGGTCTGTTACCACATCAAAAGTTTGGCTGTACAAATAGGGGCGAAACTTGTTTAACGCCCATACAATCGCGAGGCACTCTTTTTCCGTAACAGAATAGTTGGCTTTTGCCTTAGTGAGGGCGCGGCTGACATAGGCAACCACATACTCCATAAAACCTGATTTGCGTTGCGCGAGTACTGCAGCAAGGCCGACGCCACTTTCATCCGTGTGTACTTTGGTCGGCGCAGTAGGGTCGTAATGGCGCAGTACGGGTGGTGAGGTAATGAGTTGGCGCAGTGTTGCGAAAAATTCGTCACAGGCTGCTGTCCGATTCGGAAGATCTGCAGGGCCAGCAAGGAGTTTGGTGAGCGGAGTGATGATCGAAGCAAAGTTACGAATAAACCGACGAAAGTAGGAGCACAGTCCCACAAAGCTCCGTAGTTCCTTAACTGTAGTCGGCTTAGGAAATTCGGCAACAGCACGAAGCTTGTCAGGGTCGGGAAGGATGCCAGCTTTCGAGACGACATGACTAAGTATGGTGAGTTGTTTAGCCCCGAAGTGACATTTCTTCAGGTTAAGCTGAAGACAGACGTTTGTTAGGCATTGTAGAATCTTATGCAGAGTGTGAGATGCGAAGTGAAATCGGGTGAAAAGTCCGAAGCGTCGTCAAGATAGCACAAGCTTATGTTCCATTTGAAACCGCGTAAAATGCTGTCTATCATTCGCTCGAATGTGGCGGGCGCATTGCAGAGTCCGAATGGCATTACGGTAAATTCATAGAGGCCATCCGGTGTGACGAACTGCCGTTTTCGGAACGATTAGACTCAGCCAATGGGACCTACAAATAACCTGAGCGAAGGTCAAGCGAGGAAAAGAATTCTCCACCTTGAAGACAATCGAGAGCATCATCTATGCGGCGAAGAGGAGTAAACATCTTTCCTGGTAATGTTGTTTAGGCGCCATGTAGTCTACGTAGAACCGGATCGAACCATCTTTTTTTTTTTTTTTTTGGGGGGGGGGCGAGTACAACTGGGGAAGACTAAGGACTACAACAAGGCTTGATGACTCCACACTGTAGCATGTCGTCTACTTGTTCTGCAATTACGCGACGCTCCACCGGCGATACACAGGATAGGGGCGCTGGCACAAAGGAGTACTCTTTCTGTGTCAATTGTGTTAGTTCTTCCTAGCAACGTTCGGGGAAAGTCAATTGAACGCCTTAACTTCGTGCAACAGGGTAACAAGCTGCTCTCATTGAGCCGGGGCAGGATGGCTAGTCAATAGAACGGTGAAATGCATCGGAAGACACGCTGTCCGAGGCAAGGTGAGGAACCAACACATTCAGCTTTATACTTCGGCTTAGGTGTCGAAGAAATCAGCAGGCACGATAGGTACCTTCATCGATAGGGCCTGAATGTGGCCGAGTGTCTCGTTGCGGCGCAAACTGAGGGGGCACGAGTTGAGATTGGAAATAAATATTCCGGTGGTGTCTTGACAAAGCGCGAGAACGGCGAATGGCAGCAATGTGTGGTGGCAGCCACCGAAGATGTCAGATGGCGTGAATAGGACGGTAGCGTCAGAAAGTGAAGCACAAGTAGGCAGGTACAAACTGGGTGCTGAAAGGAGGAAGGACAATGTCCGTCGCGACGACAAAGTTAGCAACACTAGATACGGCCACATCAACAGAAGGCGCATCACGAAACGGTAAGAGCTTCACTTTGGCCCGAGCGCAGTCCACGACGGCGTGATGACGTGATAAGTAATCCCATCCTAGTATGACATCGTGGAAACATGAAGTCAACACGTGAGATTCAATGGTGTACAACTTGTCTCAAATTACTAATTTTGCTGTACATGTCACGACGGGCTCAATTCCTTGGGCGCTCGCAGTGCTAAAAGAAACTACGGGAGAAAGCATCGTCACTTTACGAAGAGAGCGGCAGAGTCTTTGACTAATCGCAGATATCGTGGTACCGGTATCGATGAGTGCAAGTGTTCGTACACCTTTGAAGATTACATCGATAAGATTGGCGGGAGACAAGCGACGACTTAAACGATTAGACAATGACGCAGCTCGTACCTCCGAAGCTGCAGCAGTTAGTTTTCCGTCTCAATAGAGGTGGGTCGTCGACGCATAGGCAATACGGAACGAAAACTTGTTGAAGGGGAAGGCGAGCGGGAAATAGACTGTCGAGAAGTGGAGGTTCGGGTGCCGGAAACAGCTTGCGCGTCGCGTTCGTGAACTAACATACATATGGTCCCGTTGTCACCAGTGCGCCAAGGATTTCCGGCGTGCTGCTGTGTAGCTGGAAACGGCGCGGTGGACGGTCGCACAGGTTGTGGCATATACGATGGCAGACGAGGCGGAGGCATTTATGCGACGGCCGCATGAGTCAGTGGCGCGGCAACAGGTGTTGGTGGAGAGGCAGACGTAGGTAATGGCAACGCCTCGGAGACCTGCTCTTGAATAGCCTGTCTGATGGTCAGCGTTAGGCGGTTCGTTTGTGCTTCGGAAGTCGGCAGATACGAGACACGAAAGCTGTCGTGCGACCTCTTCGCGTACATAATCTTTTACCTGCTCCGGCAGGG